ATATTAATTCATAGTGTAGTGATATAGTATAATAAAGCTTTCTTTGTGGAAACGTTTTATAATAATTTGTTTTTAACTAGTTATTATGAAGTTATCAAATTATTGTTATAATTAAATTTTGAATAATATTGAAAGTTGATAATGACGTCACAGTCTTACTGCTTAAGTTTTTCTATGTGCCACGGCCCTTACGTTTCAATATGGCTGCCTTACTGTTCGACCGTGATTGGTCAATTCGCTTACGTCTTAAGTCTTACTGCTTAAGAGCCACCGCACAAGGTTTTCCGTAATGCATTAGTGCCGGTCTACAATAGGTGATTTAGGGCCAATTTCACAAAGTCCGGTTAGTAGTAGGATTTTCGAACGTGAGAGAGAAAAAAAGAAAGAGAAAGTGAGAGAGAGAGAGAGAGAGAGAGAGAGAGAGAGAGAAATGATAGGCGAAACCGGAACAACCGATAATTATTAGCTGTTTCATTCACTATCTTTCAGTATTATCCAGTATGTTTGAAATTTTGTGACGGGTTGTAACTTATTATTTTTCTGAATGCAGATGCACGAGCTATCGCTTGCGCTTTTCCGTAGTAATATCTGTGGTAAATGAAATTGCATGCTCATATCATAGCATGTATCTCTATTCGACAAATCATATAAAGATCCTCTTCGATTAATTGGCCTACATAATCGCTCTGATAATTATGAATTTGCAAACGCTTTTTCAAGACTTCAATCCAAGGTAATTCTTATACATTATTCAACATAACACCAAGTGATTTCAAGAATATTATGAATTTATTTTGCAATAACTCATAATATAAATATAGATATGATGTTATTAATTTTTAATTCCAGTAAATTCCTGGTACATTCCTGTTTGATGATATTTACATCTCTATTCGCTCTTCGATTGGATGGCTTCATAGAATGGAGTTATTGGTCGATATTTAGCCCAATATGGTTTTGGAAAAGCATGGTAATTTTGGGAGCTATAGTCGGAAGTTACGTTTGGTGGAGACATCCACACGCAAGATTGGAAGGTGATGCCTATGTGCATTATAAAGCGATGCTGATTACCTTGGCATTACATTTAATTCTATTAATGTTTGAATTGTTGGTGTGCGACAAGTTAGAATCAGAGAGACACTTATGGATACTTGTATTCATACCCTTGATATTTATCTCAATAGTATCTATTGCGGTAAGTAGTTGAATCTTCCAACACTACTATCAACAATTTGTATAATTATCTATATTGTTTTCTGACAACACTTTATTGCGATATAGGTATGCATCTGGGCTGTAAAACATGATCGATCATTTGAGCTTGAGCTATTCTGTGCAGTGAATGTATTGCAATTTATTTTTTTGGCTTTGAGGTTGGATGGTTTTATAACATGGAGTTGGGAAGTTGTGTTTGTGCCAGTATGGGCACTCCTATGTTTATCCTTAGTGGCTGTTTTGTATGCGATAGTATTTGCTGCTGTTTTATTAAGAACACCGCAGATCAATGCTCGTCAAAGGCGAACCTCCTTGAATTCGGCATTAGCGTATACATTTCTTGTCGTTCCCATTTTAGTGTTCCAGGTATAACTATGCATTTTTTTATCTGCTTACTTAAGTAGATCATATTTTTACTTTTGTATCATTATTTATTTATTATTTTTTAGGTACTATTAGCAAATAAATTGGATGGAGATATTTCAATAAATTATACAACAGTGGCAATGCCACTCCTTGTGTCACATATAACTCTTATTTTTATGTCTTTTGGTGCAAAAGGTGGAAATAGATGTAAGACACAATCTTGCAAATTGTTATTTAATAATATTTTAGAATGATATATTATGGATTATTTTTTAAATATTACGCACAAATACACACATACACATACAGAATGTAAAAAAAAAAAGGGTTAAGGACTTATAGGGTAAATAATATACCCTAAATCGAGTAATAAAAAATGTTTCATAAACATAGATTGAAAAATTCGATCTTGTTCAATTTTAATTCTGACAGAATTGATTTTTTGATCCATATTTATTGAACATTTTTTATTCGACTTAAATATTATCTACATACACATACAGAATGTAAAAAAAAAAGGGTTAAGGACTTATAGGGTAAATAATATACCCTAAATCGAGTAATAAAAAATGTTTCATAAACATAGATTGAAAAATTCGATCTTGTTCAATTTTAATTCTGACAGAATTGATTTTTTGATCCATATTTATTGAACATTTTTTATTCGACTTAAATATTATCTATTTTATAAGTCCTAAACTCTTTTTCCATTTTTATACATATAAAACACAGACATACATATATTTCTTTTTTCATGATTAATTTTAGTTAGAATATAAGAATGATGGAATTTTTGTCCAGGGTGGTTTGGTATCAGAAAAGACTTTTGTCACTTCCTACTAGGTTTATGTCCATTGCTTCAAGAATATGGTAATATTTCATACCAACCAAGGGATGAACGAGATCAACCACCATCTGAGCCAATGATTACGGAAAAGAGTGAAAAACTTATTAAGAAAATCGACCTAATGAAACCTGTTGTGCCTATAATCTCTATAGACATGCCTGACTGATTGGCTCAAAGCAGGTATTTGTAGAGATGCATTTGGGAAATGTGCTATGTGATTATATTTCACAATGTATAATATAAATTAGCTATACAAAATTTTTTATTCTTATATTTTACAGGGTTAACTCATATATTTAAATATTATTTTTAATGTGATTGACTTATACAAAGGTCAAATGTCTGATATAAAATAATCAGGTACATATATTTAAATATATATAACATATACAGGGTGTCAATTTGAAAACTTTTAGTCGGGATATCTCGAGAACTAGTAAATATATCAAAACACGGTTTGGGGAGAATATTGGATAGCAAAGGGGACATCGAATCGCAGTCTGCGACTGTGAAGAGGTAGGTCACTCCTTACATGCCCCCTACTCTAACTTTAACATCTCAAATGGTACTACCCCATCTGTGATACCTTAAATTAAAGGTGTTGACGAGTACTTTTCACCTGCACAAGAAAAATTCAAATCAATCGATTTGTTTTTGAATTACACCAATTTGATTGAAAAAGTTGTTATTTCTTAATGCTGTAAATGAGATACGTTTTATTTAATTTTTGTTTGTTATAAATTGTGGTTATAGTAAAGAATTAGAAACAATGTTTAATGAAAAATTACAGTCTACAACAATTGAACAATTTCGGCAACGGATCTTCAGAGAATGCAAATCCATTCTCAGGCAAATGTTTTGAAATGTCAGGACAGAATTTGAAAACACTTTATTATTGGTTACAAAATAATGGACACCATTTTGAACATCCAATTAAATAAAAAATTGTAATAAATTTCTGTTATAAAAATGAATAGAGAACCTATAGTTTTCCCCCAGCTGAAAGTTTTCAAATTGACACCCTATATAATAGAATATATAGTTATTGCTTATATATACTTTATTCTAGGCCTTAATAAGCCAAGAGATTGTATTAAGTGGATGTATATGTTGGCTGGGATACAAGACTGAACACTTTGCATCTCTAAAATAGCAGGATGTCAAAAAATAAGAAAGAAATGAATAAAACTGGATAAATCTAGAAAAAGCCATGTTACTGTTAATGTTGCTGGACATTATAATATCAGAAAAAATGCCCAATCATTTATTATATATTATAATGTAGAAATAATGTACGGACTGTTATATCAATAATATTATGTATGATAAATATTAAATATTGTATGGATCTCTACCACGTTATGGTAGATAAATGCTAGTAAAATATGTTATATATAT